TGTATCAAATGTATCACTTTTTTTATCTTAAGCATCAAAGTATCAATATGGAATAAAACCAATAATTTTTATGAAAAACCATTTTTCAAAACGATTTAACATTTATTGATTGCAAAAAAGGTACACGTATCAGTTGTATCTGGTACTAGTATAATAATAATAATAAAGAAAATGTCGTAGATATATGTATGAGTTCAACTGGGTGTCTGTATAATAAAAACAGCAAACATGTCGTATATATGATCATAATTTTAATTTAAATACTTTTTGTACTTATAGGGCTCAGAATTAAAATTTTTTAATAATTTTTAATGCATTTCGAAAACATTATGCATTCCACCATTGGCAAAGTGAAGCGATTTGTTCTATATGTTTTGATCAAATTCAGATCGGAGAAAATGCACTCTGCAGCACTGCAGCAAACACAACAAGTTATAAATAAAAGAAGTTAGGTCGAAATATAAAAAGTTATTTAAAGCATTTTTTAGCTTGCTTACCCCCCTTGCTTACTTCAACGCAATCTGTGTTATTATCGAATTTCAAAAGTTGCCATTGTATAAAAATTTTTTCTTTAGTTAATATAGTTAGTAGTTATAAGTTAATAGTTACTTTCAAAATTGTTATTATTATATGAAAAATAATTGCAGCGCTCCACTGGGACAGTAAACGATCAACAGCTAGCTTCAGCGATACCCAGCGAACGTTTGACACTCGAAAAATTTTATGATTTTTAACACCAACGCAGTTTTGAAACTCGGCGAATTCCTCCACCTTTTTAGCACTATGTGCGAAGAAATTGTAAACATCTCAGGCAGGTTTTTCGAATTCTACGGGAATTTTTTTACACGATGGGAAAAGTATGAAAATTTAAAAAGAAGTGTCCCTCCAAAATTCATCAAAATATGAATCACTTTTGATCCACTTGGATCAAAACGGTCACACTGCTCGTGCTTAAGGACCGATTGACTTCTGCGTTTTATTTTTTTCAGTTGCTTCAGTGTTGCCGGCATGAGTGCTTCTTTTCAGATAATCACCCCTATGCTGTAATCCGAATGTTCGCAGTTACGAACTCGTAGCTCCGTTCCGAAAATTCGAAAATCGGTATGCTGTAATCCGATCGTAACTATCAGTGGCACTGCCAACTAAAAACTTGAAATTCGAAGTTCTTCATCAGCTGCTTTTACAGAAACAACTCGAAATAAATATAATCGAAAGTGAATAGCGTAATTAAAAAATCTAGTTCAACCATTATTCGAAAAGACTTTTCCTTAATTAAGTAGAATACAAAGGATTCAGTGGCCGGTGCACATTTGTTCGAGGAGGAAGAACAGCTAACAGTTGCATTATACAAAGGATATGCCTGATCCATTTGGCTTAAATGATAAAGTGTAAGCTCCCTCATTTTAAAAGCCTCCATTTCACTAGATATTGTGCCGCTTTAATTCTTGGAACTCTTTCCCAAAATTCCACCACATCCTCTTTAGCTCCTCTTACAAAGCCTCGACCAATGTCCGGCCTTTCGCTCATGCATTCCACCAGTTTTTCTTATTGCGAGCGATTTGTTATGATCTTCGATCTGATGATTTTGTAAACATTTAATAAATTTTTTTTTTTATTCACACTTCAACCTACATACATATTTATGCGTTTACACACTTTATTTTATTGATATTTTAAAACAATTTGTTTCGCTCCGACACGAGTTGCTATTCATACAAAATTTCCGAAAAATACATAAAAATGACAGCTACGTCGGATTCAGGCATACCAACATTACGAATTTCGAAGAATAACCATATTATTCCTATTACCAATCAAAATTCTAAAAAAGCGGATTTTCGGCCCACGCTAATGAACATATTATGCACGTATGAATAAAGCGAAGCGCACATTGGCGCGACTCTGTCGTTGCGAATCCGCAAGCCCAAAAATTACAACAATGCTACCCATACATTTTAATGCGCTAGCGCACACTTGCACGATTCCGTCGCAGCGAATTTTTCGAACATTCAATGTTATTCTCTATTGACGCGTTCGAAACGCGGCTTGCAGCGTTTTGAAGGCGTCAAAGAAGAAGAGAAAGGTGTCACAGCAATAAAGGCAAAGAAAAAAAAACGTGTAATGTACAAAAACTAATAAAAACGTTCGTAATAATAGTATTTTGTACGATTTGGGCACGCCGAGTGCGAAAATACACGAAATAAAGGGAAAATTGAGTGAATTGTACATCGGAAATCGACGCGAAAAAATCGCTCAAGTGTGCGCACGTTTGCGGATTCGAAGTTAACAGCCGAATTCGCAACGTATTCGCAACGATGGAATCGCGCTAATGTGCGCTTCGCTTAAACACACCTTGTTTTCTACATGATAAGTGCGTAGTTTACGGCAACACTATCGACAAAATTTCGAAATGCATACGAACACAATCTATTAAGTTGCATATTTATACGTTTATTAATTCAACATTTTTGGTAGGACATCTTACAGGAGTTGTTGGACAGGTCCTTTTCCAATTACACGCCAATGTTAAAAATGACATTTGAAACCATTAGCAGAGAAACTAGTACTGGTAACCTTATGGACTATCCGAGGTCTAGCCTAGGTTGAGTCCGAATTGCTGCAGGGTAGCTTTAACCCTCTGCGACTGTTGTGGTAGTCTGACACCGAAGGTTCGACATTTTTGCTGAGCTCAATAGTATTGATTACTAAAAACGCCTTTTTTTCGACGTAAAGGCTGCATTTCTTTATTCATTCTGAACGTTTGGAATAAACTTTTTCGTTTACTTATAATTTAGAACGTTCCTGATGATATGTTAACGTATATTTCAAACGCATTCTGTTTATTCCGGCTGTGAAATGGGATTATCCGGAATGTATAAAGAAACGCAGCCATAGTGTTTGTATATGACTATTTCATTAATGAGTATGTATGCATTTAAAATATTGATAGAATTTCCATATATTTTGATCTGGAAAATTTGTGTCTGATAGACTACGCGTCAGTAAAATAGGGAACTTTCGGTCACGTCAGTAGCAGAGGCTTAATACGTGTGTAGTGTATTAACGTTTGTAAGAAAGCATAAGAAACCATTTCCGAGCTCATTTACATACGTATGTAGTCAACTGTTCTTTAGTATCTGGTTTTGAACTAGTTCATTTACATTTTAATGTTAATAAAATTTTTCGTTTGTATACGATTTCGTTGTGCACTTCACGAATGCGTTTTCGTAATTAAGAAAAACCTAAAAACAAATATTAAAAATTTTATGTTCCGCCAATGGGGTTTGAGCTCGGACACTCCTGACAGCACAACCAATAGTAGCAAGCATCTCTGTGCACTCAGCTACAGCCACGATGAGTAAATGTGTTTTCAAATGTTCACTTTAAGCGATTGGAGCATTTTTACATTTTGACAGACACAGAGTGGTGTTGTTTGGAATCTTTTTATTGAGCTGAACTCATTCTTAATGAAAATTTCTAGACAACACCACTCTTTATGTAAAAATCAGTGAGAGTTAAATTTTTTGTCTATCTGTGGAACAGTTCCTTGGGGTGGTACTAGTGCTTTTCGGAAATTCATGTTTATTAAAAGTTTTTAATAAGTTTCCCCTGTGTGTAATCAAATCTTGCAATCACTTCTTAACCATCTTCAACATGAGTTAGATACTAGAAACTTCAAACTTAGCTCAAACCCCGGTGACAATGCAATATGAAAGATGAATTAATCTCCTAGGTGGTGCTGGTATCGAGATATTTATAAAACCCGTACAACCCGTTCACATTTAAAATATACATATATTTCTTGCATGAAAAGAAATAAAACTACAAAAAGTATTTAGCCGTTAGGTGGTGCGGAGGTCGATTTTTCTTTTTTTATTAACCACTAACAAGCTTGTCTTTAAAATTGTTTGTTTAAATGACTTGTTGGAGTAATTGAAAAAAAAAAAATCGATTGAAACTGAACAATTGAAAACATATACAAACCTTCCTTTTTGGGGGGGGTCTGCAAATAATATGAAAATATAGATTTTTTATGGGACACTCTTATTTTGTTCTATGTATAAAATAAGGACTTTAGAGAAAATTTAAATATAAAAAAAAAATTGTTAGGTATGACAAAATTTAAAATTGGATAAATTTTACATATTACTGAAAACTATTCATTAAAATTCAGTCATTGCCAAATTAATTCATTGTGCGATATTAAGCTCCAAAGCATTTTAAAATTTTTTTTCAAGTTCAAAATAACGTTTGTTTATAAATACATACATACATAAGTAATAGCTTAAAAAAATACCAAGAAACTCATTACCAGGGAGCGGATTTTATGGAAATTGCCTTTTTTACTGCTAAAGGGATGGAGTATATTCGATTAAGAATGTTCACGGTTTAGCTTTCTCTGATTCCACCTTTAATTGTAAAGGGCAAAGAAAAAGCCCTTATTCCTGATAATATGAAAGTTTCAAACGTTCCATATTTAAATTGGGCGCCACTTGTAATAACTCATGTCGAGCGCACGTTTAGTACATTCAAGGCTTCTCTTCGCGGGAATCGATGAAAATGTTGCTAGAAAACTTGAAAATGAATTTTGGTTTTGTGGGTAAAAAACTCGAAAGGAGAAAAGTGCACATTTTTCATATAATGAAACTATGTAGTTCATAGTTTTTCTCTTTTTACTTGTAAAATAAACATTTCTAAAATAAATGTATTTTTTGATTATTTTCGGTTTTTGTCTTTTTTAGTGCCTTCTCTTCCTTTTTTTGCGATTTCCAATACTTTTTCCTGCCTATTTCGCAATTTTATTTTGCCTTTTCCAGCCTATTTCGTTATTTTATTTTGCCTTTTTTCGTAGGTTTTTAGAGCTTCCTGAACACAAAATGCATTCAAAAACAAAATTTTGAAGAATAAAAAAAAAACTTAAAAAGACTAACGACGACTAAAATTTATTTTAAGCTTTTGAAATTTTCGTGGGTGTCTACAATAGAACATACAACATTTAATGTTGATATTGTAAGGACAACCTATGTATGTATACATCCTCGCTGAAGCCGAGTTGGCAGAGGCCTAGATTTGATTGCCGTAAGTGGAAACATACATATAAATAGTATAAAAGTTAAAGAAAAAGTTGATCCTAATTTTGAATGATATATTTTTAGGTTGCTTAACCAATTGTTTGGTTAGTGTAGTACTTCTAAAGTAAAATATAAATATTTCATAGGCATTCTCTGAGTTTATATTTAGAAACGTAAAGTTTGGTATCAGTACCTCTTTCGGTATGACGGAACGGAAGTTGGAAGGTTCCCCGAACTCACTCGAACTTTTTTTGGAGCACCTGAATGTACATACGTATGTATGTATGTATTCTACGATTTTTATAAGCATCCTATAGAAAAAGTAACTCGAAATAAAGTTAAATCTTAAGTTTGGTCACTTCGTTCATATATTTATTGAGATTTACTTTACTGAGTTCATTCGTTGCACTTAGTCTATCTAAGCATTTTATCGATAACTAGACTGCGGATATTTATGCAGAAGACGAAGCCTAAATATATGTACCACTTAAGTATAAGCAAATTGTAGAAATTTGTATACATTTTTTTTTATAGTTATGTGATGCCTATATTTAGTCTTCATTTTATGCATAAACATCCGGAAGTCGATCGATAACATAGCCATCCCAAATCAAGAAAAGAAGAGTATATCGTTGGTTGAGTGGAAGACCTCCCTATTTCGGCTGCCGATATATTGAATTTATATTGAGATAGGGCTTCTTTGAACTAAACTCTGTGATAGTGCGTGCTTCAACCGAATTTCGAAATCGGGAGCTCTTCAACGATTTGCTGAGATAGAACGTTTTCGAATCGGCAGCCGAGATAGGGCGATCTTCCACTCAACCAACGATATATTCTTCTTTTCTTGATTTGGGCTGGCTTTCCTATATGGCCGTTTTGTTTCGTTTCGTTATTACGTCGTTGCTAAAGGATCACAATTTGGTTTAAAAGTACTTTTATTATTTAATATTACATATGTGCATATGTATGAAGAAGAAGAATAATTAAAACAACTTTGGTTTTTCATTACAGTTTTGACAATCCGGAGTTGGATTTTTTCTTCCATACCTTAAAGTGAAAGCACTCCGGAAATTCGTATTCCTATTGGATACAAAACAGCAGTTTTAAAAGAGCAACACCTATTTGAATTTGTTAATATTGCTATGTCGACAGGCCTGAAGGTATTACTAGATGCAGCTCAGTATATTGAGCATCAAGAAAAATTAAAACGATCACCAATTCCGGCTTCAATTGACTCTACAGAGCTATGCTATGTGGGCCAATGCTCTACGGAATTCGATATATTAGGTGGCGTCAGCAACAACAACAACAACAACAACAACGTTATAAACACAAGGAGCGCACGAACTA